TTTTATTATCTTTAGATAGCTATACAAAGGAGTTGCCATTCAACACAGCAGTTTATGAATCCAATGCATCCAGTCACTTTTAACATTCTCACCCACTCCTCTCAATCGACCCCTACCCTCTGTTTTCATAATTTTGTAGGATCTACATAGACTTTTTTTATTGCATTCACCCCCTACCCCCATTGGTCAGTACTGGTTATAATCATGTGTGTAGCAGTTTCTTTAATAATCAGAGACCCAGATTTCATATTTATATGGTTGCTAGCAAGATTGAATATGGCACAGGTAGTCACTTGTTCAGTGTTAACTATCATTGTCATCATCATCACCCAACAAAAGCTTAATAAGTGTTTGATTTTTTTTTTTTTAACAGATGTAGGGCTTGGTTAGTATTCTATGCTTTCCTTAGAACATTGGTTTTACTATGATATCTATAAATGTTAAACATGAAAGGATCTGAGAATGCTCAAGCAGGGTGTGTTGAGTGTGTGCGCTGGTACTTTACCACTTGAGCCACACTTCCACTTCCTGCTTTTTCCTGGTGAATTGGAGATAAGAGTCTCACAGACTGGCATTGAACCTCACCTCAGCCTCCTGAGCAGCTAGAATTACATGCATGAACTATCATTATCTGGCTTTCATTCTTTAAAGGATCTCCTGTTTTTGTTTTCTATAATTTACATTGTAAATTGTTAATGGGGACAATTTGTGAACCCTTTCATAACAAGATCTTTAGAATTTCCCTTGGGAAATAATCTTGTGGCTTGGCTTTTAGATTTAACAGATAAGGAAATTGACTACCTGTGTTTGTTGCCTTCAGTTTATAGTTCACATATGTCTTGCTTAGGGGAAATGCTAATACAGTCTATGAAGTGGATGGTTAAGTGGGACATACAAGCTTCCATTACCTAGTTGCTGATAATACACATATTTTGAGACTGGATCGTAGGAAGGGTTTTAGTGCAGAATTACTTGTTTCTTGGTTGACCCATTTTAAAGTTCTATCAGGCCCATTTAAGTTTTCCTCTCAACACCACTGCTGGCTCTCTTATGATCCAGATGGCCGATGATGATCAGCAAGAATGTTACCTACCACCCAAAGATCAGCAAGAATGTTACCCACCACCCAACGATATCATCTGCACACATAGCATATTGAGAGTATCTTTAAAATAGGAGCCAACCTACCTCACACATGGTAGTTGTTATATATGTTGACTGTCCACGCGATCAGTACACAGATGTGCCTAGGACAAACTGGGAGTTTGGGGTACCCCATGTCCCTACCTCCCTGTGCTGTCCTGGGTGGGCTAAAGCTATGTAACATGGATTTCATGCTCCTCGTTTTGACATGGCTCAATGTGGGAAGAATTCTTACCTTTCCCTCTATCTCATAGAGGGAAATGCAAATCAGGAAAACATCTTGCTGTATATTTTGGTCCAGTACTACCCACACCTCAGGAAAATGTTAATGTAGTATTAGTATAGGATAGATTTACTCGGAGGATAGATGTGGGAACAGTAGAGTCAGCTTTTGGTATTGTGACTTGTGAATGATAGGTGACTGGAGAGTTTTGTGATGGAATAGCACTGGAGTCACACTCTTGTAAGAAGTAGGGTAGTGTTTAATTTGGTGCTTTATTCTGTGAAGTCACCTACAGAAAAATCAGATGTTTACATGTTTGTTAATGATGGGTTTTGTTTTTGCCAATTGGCCACAGACTGTGGGCTGGGTGAGGCTGGGGAATATATAAAAATCTCCCATCTTCCTTTCTATGTCAATGGGTAAAAGGCAGAAAAACATTTGCTATCTCAATTTCCGGCTTTGAAGAAAGCCAGAAACTTTTTCAGCTACATCATGCTCCTGTTGGAGTTGGAAAATGAATAGGTTTTTGAGGGACCTGGGATTGAGTGGAATCATATACAGAGTAGCATGTATCTAGGTTGCTGGTTTTCTCAGGTCTTGCTCTGAGATTTGAGTTAAGACAATTATCAGGGAGTTTTGAACCTCTTGCTTTCTAATCTTTGTGATTGAATTAAAGTGTCAGAAATATCACAAATTGCTAATTTTTTTAAAAAGCTTTACTTTGTAAAAATAACTCACACTAATTATAGAAACAGAAAAACATCAAAAGGCATAATGCTGAAAATTGCCTCTAATTCTATTAAAAGGTGATCACTATGGATGCTTTGTTATATTTGCATGTATTTTATATGTATAATTAAGATAATTGGTATAAATTTTGACTTGTGTTTTCTATTTAATAATATATGACTATTTCTCCTGCTTGAGACCAGCTCAGCATCAGGATTTCTGTGAATTTCTTATCTCTGCTAAAACAAATTTCTGTCCACCACAGTCATGGTTCTAGAGGTGAGGAATCCAAAACCAGGTACAAGCGGGACTCTGTTCCTTTAGAGGCTCTTGGGGGAGAGGCAGTCTGTTCCTCCCCTCCCAGGTAATGGTTGTTGGCATTCTATGGCATGTGGTCCATCACCCCAGTCTCTGCCTCTGTGTTCATATCACTCTGTGTGTGAGTGTGTGTGTGTTTGTGCACATGTGTGCGCACATGCACATATGTGTATTTCACATGCATTAGGTGGGGGTAGGGAGTCCTGATGTCTGGAACCTATAAATGTCACCTTAACAGGAACTTTTTTTTAAATAAGTGTGATCAGGGAAGGATCTTGAAAAAATTAGATCATTGGATTAGTCAATAGACCTTAAGCGCTACTGCTTACATTCTTAGAGAAGTGGAAAGAGTATGGCCCACAGAAATAATGAGACAGTATCATAAAGATGGAGCCAGAGATGGTGTAATACAGGCACAGGTCAAGGAAAGCCAACAGCCATCCAAAGCCGGAAAGGGCAAGGAGGACTCCCCAGAGTCTCCAGAGGAAGTATGGCATTGTCAGTTTCCAAGTTCAGACTGCTGACCTTTGGAATTGGAAAAATAAATTTCTGTGGCTTAAACCGCTTACTTTCATTTGATAGCTACATGAAACTCCCAATCATATTACTATAACAACTTCTGAGCACTTACTCTGTTTTCTTTGTGCCAGTCCTGGTGTTTGAACTTGGGGCCTGGGTTCTGTCCCTTAAGTTTTGTGTTCAAGGTTGGTATTCTACCACTTGAGCCACTTCCAGTTTTGTTTGGTGGTTAATTGGAGATAAGAATCTCATGGACTTTCCTGCCTGGGCTGGCTTTGAACTGTGATCCTCAGATCTCAGCTTCCTGAGTAGCTAGGATTACAGGCATGAGCCACCAGTACTCTACTCTGAGCACTTATTCTTAATTTCTGTACTGTTCTTATCATGAACAGGCAGCAAAGATTTGGCACAGAAGTTAGGCAGTTTTTCCTCTGAATATCCCTAGCAGTTAGCTTGAATTTTCTCAATGCAAGGTTAGCAAGGCTCACTACAAACACATGACTCTTAAGGCCATCAGATGCAATTTTGGTTCAAGTCCTGGTGATAAGTCTTTGTTCAGTATCTCTCATATTGAACCTAGCTGATGCTTTTATATCTTGGTAGTCTTTCTTAGGAAATGGATCAACTGTCTTCTTGAACCTCCTTTTGCCACCTTTTCAAGGCACATGTTCTTCCCAAATGCCATGGTGTGCCCCAGAAAGCACCATGACTCTTCAATTAAGAGTCCCCTGACTCTTCAATTAAGGTTCAAACTCTTGACTAGCATTCATAGCCCTCAGAAAAATTTGGGTCTTCTTTGTTTTAGCCCACTCCCTTCACACACCTTAATCTCTGAGCCTCACCAGAGTCAAGGTGTTCTAGTAGGATGGCTAATGGAGGTTAGCTTATGCCATCTAGGGGCATAGATTTCTTTGACTGGGCAGATTTTGTCTTGCCATTAAAGAATTAAAAGGCACAAAGGTGTTTACGACAGAACAAGTGAAAGTTAAACGAAAGTTCAGAAAGAAAAGTGGTGACTTCTTTTGAGAGGGATACCTCCCATACCTGCACTTTGGGCTTTTACACTGATTGCTTCATAGCTTGTGTATGAGCCACCTCCATTTTTTAAAAATTTTTTATTGGCTGAGTAGGAACTTAGGCATCATGGAAAGAAGTATTTGAACAGATGCCTAAGGCACTATGGGTTGCATTTTGTTTGCCATGTATTTCATCTGCCATTTCTCATTCCTGTCTGCCTTTCTTTCCCTTATTGGTTCTGGAAGCTGCTCAATAAATGAGTTAATGATTGACCATCATTAAGTTCCAGTGGAAAAATATGGCAGGGTGATAGAGGCCAGCCATAAATCTTGGAAGGTTCTAAGGGGGAAAATGTTTACCTTCATTAAAAATAGAACAGAAAGGCAGCATAAGCAGCAGACTGCTCCATCACACATGGATGGAATCACCTTAGATCATCCAACACAATTTAGTCACCAGACGACTGTGGCCATGAAAGTGAGCTCAAGTCATGTGACGGGCTCCGTTGAGTCCGTTCCTTCTAGAACCTTCACTTCTGTCTTAATATTTAATGCTGCTTGGCTTTTATGAATTAATTGGTTGGATCCACACTTGAGTCTCACAAACCTTGTTCCTTTTCCCCTCAGGCATTATGGGATTGTAGTTCAGAGGTCCATAGTATTTTCCTATCATCTTTTCTTTTCCCCAGGTTTTGATTTCAGAAGCCTGTATTTTTTATTTCTTTTTACTAGACTCAATCCGAAGCTCTCGCTTTTAAATCAGTGGTTGTTGGTTATAGTTTAAGTTTGCAGACATGTTGTAGAATCTCAGGAGTTCAGGAAGCAGAGTTCCACCAGCTTGCTGGGACTGGAGTGGGAAGATCCCTCTAACTGGGGCTGCAGTGTCCTCCTCCTGTCTGGGTGTCTTGTGGGCAGGGCAGCTGGTGGGTGTGACAGGTGTTCAGCAGTCAACTAGTGGAGGGGAGCCACTAAGGGGAGGGAGGCTGTGGGTTGTAGAATGGTAGCCTGCCATTCCCAAGCCATCTATTATATGTCTTCTTATTTCTCAACAGGAATAACTCAAGTCAGCTTTATTGGAAATCAGTGTGAATCAGCTGAATTTATTGAAGCAGCAGTTCTTAAAGAAGAAAAGGTAAAAATTCTGTTCTAGGAGAAATTGATCTGTGGAAGAGGTTGACATAACTGTCACTGTCATTCTTCAGACATCCCCGTTGTGTGTCTAGTATTTTACCCTTCTTCTGACTATGACCCTTATCAAATGTCTCTTCAGATTACCTCCACCTCTCTGTGAATGGTGTTACATGAGGCAGGTTTTGATTTTGCTGTGGTGGTTACAGCCTCTCCTGGCTGCAGTATGGCAGACTCCATATGAGCCTCCAGGCTGCTTCTTCATTTAAATGAATTAGTCTGTAGGTTTCTTTGCTCAGACTTTTTACGAACCTGCTAAGTATCCCAAAGAAGTTTCTTACTCATTATGTCAGGTTTCTGGATCGGCATCCTTTGTCTCAGCCCTTCCTAGCCAATAGCCACCCTGTTGTTCCTTAATAGCTGTGGAATGCTTTCCCCTGTGCAAGGTGTTTCCACATACATGACCAGATTTTCTTCTCTCTACCAGACAGGAGTAGATGGCGACTTTTCCTTTTTCAGAGTCTGAAATGGGTTCAGAAGTTTAAAGGCTTGCCTAAGTTCATAAGCCAACGTGAATAGAATTGGGCTTTTCCTTCTTTTGTGCTATCTTAATAGTCTTTCCCTTTGGAAACCAAGTTTGTGCCACAGAATCTGTTGCTCGCCTACCCTCAGGGTTTCTTTCAAGAGAGGGAAGACTTGAAAATGTAGACCGACCCTGGTATTTCCCACCTCCAGTCAGACAATTTCCTTACAAAGCATCTTCTTCCTAGATGGTCAGGTTAATTTTGAAAATGGCTTTTGTGTGTTTGTTTTCCCTGTTAGGGCTTACTTAAATTTGGGAAGTTACATAAATGACAAATTGTCTTACTCCAAGTAAGTTTGAAGACACTAAACAGGTATTTAGTGTCAGCATTTGATCAGCTTAATATAACTGTGTCTAATGATGTTCTGTTCTTTCCTTCTCTCCTTTAAATAATTGCAAATGATTCTATCAATCAAGATGTACCGACACAGTGAAATTGCCTTGTGGAATCGTTCAAATATAATTGTTTTAAACTGCTCAACATTTAATTAGAAAGTAGATTATCAGCAGTTATTTTGATTTGTTCTTTGATGGGGGAAATTGAAAAATAGAATCATCACAGTCAGGACCCAGGTTCTAGTCCAGAAAGAGGCAGATTCATTATGAGCAGGATATGATTTCAGTGCATTATTGCTTCCTAAATAGGCGGTTCTCCTTTCTGTTCTTACGTTGCTCACACCTTCCACTTCAACTTTTTTTTTTTAATGGAAGACCCTGATTTTAAATGCCCCAAACAGGATGGTACTCTTTGGAGTGTGTCAGAGCCTCAAACCAAACACCTTGAAATCAGTATCAAAAATTGGCAAATCTCTTTATGATGCTAATCATTGATGAAAGCATCAGGCTATGTACTTTCAGTTATGACATGATACACATACCATTTTACTGTTCAGGTTATTGAGTGTTTTTTAGCCCCAAAGCTGGTATCTGTGTTGTGGAAGGTCATAATAGAAGTATCCTGCTTCTTGGTTCTCATAAGCATCATCTATGATTCCATCCCACCTTGAGCTGTCACAATGGCAGGGCATTTGATCACTACAAGAGGATAACAGGAAGGGGTCACCTTTGAGTTGGCTCCAAGTATTGTATAACCCCTCTTATACTGTCTATAGCAGTTAGTAAACTCAAGTCTCTCATGGCACATCAAACTTAATATGGCCATATTTTAACTCTGTCTCCTTCTGCCATAGTCCCTTCCCACCTCTTGCTGTCTCATCAAGGTGTCTAGTTTTATTAACTCACTTTTCAAGCCAGGATCTGAGTAGTTGTGTTATTCACCTTTCTCTTCCTCACCAAGTCTTAATGCTGTGTCTCCCAAGGTGGATCCTGAATTCATTCACTGCCTTCACACATCCTAGTCAGCTTCATTATTTGCCTAGATTACTGCCAAGGCTTTTTAACTGGTTGCCTTGCATCTCTGTTACCTTTACACTGATCATCCCTTTGGACCCAGAGAGATCATTAAAATAAGTTTGTTGTATGGCTTTGGACCTTACTCGGAGCCTGTAAGTGGCTTCCTCCTGTATTTGGATGAAGCAGCTGAGGGTGTGGGAGTTACAGAGAGAATTTTATGACATGCTAGATTAGCCTGAGGACTCCACAGCTTTGCTGACGTTATGTTAGCATATTTTGTTGTGAGATACTTTTCTCCTTTGCTCTTGACTTCCTTGGAAGATTGCAAGGTCTTTGATTTTCCACATGCAAGAAAACAAGCTATCAAGTTATCCAAGGCCTACTTAGGATAGCTATTGTGCACTGAGAAATGGAGCAGGGTGTGATTTGTTCCTCCAAACTCCAGAACATCAGCTCCTGGAATTCAGAGGTGAACCACTATTTATTTATTTTTTTCTTTCTTTCTTCTTTTTTTTTTTTTTAAATTTTATTTTATTTTATTTGAGAACATACTGTACAGAGGGGTTACAATTACATGGGCAGGATAATGCAATCTTTCTTTCTTCTTATTTTTTATTTTTTTGCCTGTCCTTGAGCTTGAACTCAGGGCCTGGGTACTGTTCTGAGCATCTTTGTATTCAAGGCTAGCACTCTACCACTTGAGCCACAGTGCCACTTCTAAGTAGTTTATTGCAGATAAGAGTTTCATAGACTTTTCTGGCTGGGCTGGCTTTAAACTGTGATCCTCAAATCTCAGCCTCCTGAGTAGCTAAGATTATAGGTGTGAGCCACCAGCACCTGGCATGAACCACTATTTCATTTGGTACTTAAATAAGTTAATAACAAATGTATCACTAAATGGAATGATTATACCTCCTGCTATTCCCTAAGTAGCACCCCCTGCACAAATGTTTTGACCCAGAAATGTTTAAAAACATCTTAGCTCAGGAATTTAGGAATAAAACTTGGTTCTAAGCTTGTATTAGAAAAGGCTGATATTCTACCAAGGAAAAGGAAAAAGAAACACATTTCTTCTCCTGTCTTGAGACCTATTGTAGCCTTGAGCTTTCTTCTTGTGTGTGTGTATTTGTAGAGGTGGGCAAACTTCATTTTGGTCCGTTACATTCTTCATCCTCTGTAGATCACCTTTTCGAGGTAATTTATGGAATATTGACATTCCAATTGGATATAGGGGACGTGGTGGACTCAAGACAGTTTTTCTATGACCTTGAATTTGAATTGTTTAGGTGCCAGCAAAGATGGTAATGAGACTATCAGCCAAAGAGAATGTATGAATGTGATGAGATTGAGATTATGACCAGCCACAGGATTGCAGAGGTAGGCCCCTCACTCACCTTGGGAAATGCGAAGTCATGTGACCCTTGAAATGAGGGTCTTCATGAGTTTTCTGAGCACAAAGAGGGGTTGAGAGAGACAAGGTGGGGACACAGTAAGTCCAGGTCTAGGGAAGTGAGTGGAAGCATGGCATGCCTAGAAACCTGCAAGGAGGTGGCTCTGAGGCCCAGTGAGAGGCTAGTGGGGCATGGTTGGGCTTGAACGTTGAAAAGTAGGTAGGATTCAGATCTCATAGGACTTTCTGAGATTTAGACTTTGATCTGCAGGCAGTGATCACTGTAGAGTTTCGCTTATGTTAGAGTTAGTGGGTCAGATTTGTTTTTAGACTAGGAATTCTGTAGACTTGGACTATAATTACACTAAGACCTCCTAAAGGACAGTGAACCATTTCTTATCTTTCTGATAGTCTTTTATCCATTCTTTTGCATGTGAGACTCAAAACTGTGTACTTCAAAGTGTAAGGCATGCCCCCAGGCTAGCTACCACATTCACAAATTTGTGAGGCTACTGAAATGTAATTGCTTGCTAAGTGCCTTGCTGGAATTCCTAGATGGCTCTGCTTTACATTCCACTGGGTGCCAGGGCCTCACTGCTCAGGAGTGATGTATTCCATCCTTCTGAGCCTGGGCACTTCAACTTTGAGTTCCTGTAGATCTTAGAAACACATTCTTAACAGTACAGTGTTAACAAGGTCTGAGGTCTGTGACACTTTTCTAGCTGCTGGGTATCTGGATGTTTAGTGATCCATTTCTGGTAATGTGGCTTTCTCATGATTAACTGATACAATTTGGTTGGTTGTTAGCTCTTTAGTATGAGGAGGGGTGTTTGTGCCTGCAGTATTTTTTTGGCTAAAAATGTTTCCAATAACTAGACTTTCAAGCAGTTTTGACAGTTGAGCCATAAAGATGTTTACGTCCCCATATCTGCATCGGTGGTGAGTTTTCAGTTTCTAGCATATTGTTGTTGCTCTAAGAGGAGATGTGGGGGATGGGCAAGTTATGGCACCTTTTGCCCTGCCTGCACGGGCGGTGGTTGCAGAAGAATTTATATGTGTGTGTGTGCCATTTAAGGCTTGAGAAAGTGGTGTGTTTAGGAAGGAACCACAGGGTATTGCAGAAATCCTCATGAAAGAAGTTAAGGCCTGAGCTAGTGTCTGTGGAGATGGAGTGGGCAGAGGATATGTTTGAGACATGTTTAGGATGGGGAATAGTAGAACTGAAACAGTCTGACAGAGGAAATGACTGAAGGGGAGGGTCCAGACTTCTCACCTGGGTAATATCAGTGAGAAAAACAGGCTCCCCTGTCAGTCAGCAAGTACAAGTAGTTGAGACTTGAAAATGGGCAAGTGTGTGACTTGTTCTCCCTCTACAGGCAGACAGAGGTATGGCTGGCCAGGAAGTGTGGTCAGGGCCTAGGCTGGGTTGGTTCAGTATGCGCAGAGTCTTGAAGGCCACAGTGTTGGCACTATGTCACATTGGCAGTGGGGAGTCGTGAAGACCTTTTAATTAGAGCACAAAGATCAGCCTGTGGTTTGGGTGAAATCTGTCTTTCTGGAGATTGAGGGATTGGAAGGCAGGAATCAGGAAGGCAGCAGGTAAGAGCCAAGAGTTCAAAGTATCAGGGACAGTGCAAACAGGTATGTGTGATCTGTGCAACCCTCATTGCTTGGGGGT